ATTAGAGTAATTTGAAACTGCATGTAAAACTCGTTTTCCCTCACTTTACACATTTTATGTATTGTTCTGATAGATTTCTACTGAGTCACACATGATTATAAAATTCAGGATAAACAAAGTCATCAGACATAAGATTGATGATCAGGGTGTGAGGATCGTATAGTTTCTGGATGTCCATAATTTTATTTCTTATGTCACTCATAAATAATTTCTTATATAAATGAATAAAGAATCTGATGTAGATAAGATCTCTCTAGGGGCTACTTTCAGATGGGAATGGACTACATCTGTTTTAGGTTTAATTAATGGCCCTCGGCTCATTATTGTTACTTTCCTTTTAGAACTGCATATATATAAAAGTTTCTATACAGCTTTACTACCAATTTCTTTTTCCTCACATATAAACATATTCATGTAAGTACAAACAAGTGCACACTCATATATACACACAACTATACATGTTAATAAATATGTGCTCATGAACATACATATAATCATCAATGTATACACAAGTGCACACAAGTGTACATTTATATAAACATACATAGAAACACTTGTGTATTAAAATAAATACAGGGGCCTGAGTCAAGAGGTTGTGTTGGTCTAACATCCAGCTTAGCAAGGTTTGGTGTTTCTCTTTTCCCAAGGGTCAATTTTTTGGAAAAAGGGGAGGGGGGGGGGGGGGTCAGGGATCAAGACCCCAATTTGAGACCCCAAAAACTTTGGTATTAACAGATGTGAGTGAAAAAAAAAATACTTATCTCAAAATGAGAATTTAGTTATATGTATAAAGAAATGGTGATATGCCCATCATAAAATATATACTTATCACATTAAGTAAAATTTCTTTAGTGACCATTTTACTCACTACCAACACAGGAGTAAGAGGTAGTAAACACATTAGACTAAATATTAAAAGCACACAGCATAAAAGAATGAATAACAAAGCTATTCATAGAAAACCTGCTTTAGTACATACAACATATCTTCTTGCATGTTGCTATATAAACTTTTATCATTAAATATAACAAAATAAATATGGCTATAAATACTAAATAATGACTTATCTGACTTGGGATTTTACTATGCAGCACATATATACTGGGTGGCTCTTCCATAAGCTTGGTACAAAATTGAATAAAAAAATATGATGGATAAATCCTATCACCAAGCAAACTACTGGATGTTTTACTGGAAACCCGTAATGTTGGTCACTTGAGCCCACAAACGTCAGTACTTAATTCATCTGTGCCACTGGCTTGTGCAGCTGCTTCATCCTTAACCTCTATCTGAGCATTAACAGATTCAAGGTTTTCACCGGATATGGAGTTCTGACTAGCTGTCTCAGGTACAGAGTTGGCTGAAGATGATGCTGAATGCCCTGGGTTCTCTGAATGCAGCCAGGAGCTGAATAAATCTATCATCCTTTTAAGAATACTTTTTTCTTTTTTACGTGGCTGGTTTTCCTCTTTTGGGCTGTCCTCTTTTGGGGGTAAAGCCTTCTCTCTTGCAGCTCCTTTTAAACGGTAATGGGCGACGTCTGCCTCAGTTCTAATGGCTTGTTGCTTGAGACTGTTACTTTCGTTTTTGAACTTGGTATCTGATTCTGAAGACATATTTGGGAGGTTCTAAAGGTCTCTCCAGAGATGGAAGTTTAGAGCCTCTGAAGTGGTGGAATCTACAGCTACTTCACCAACTCCTCCTGAAAGCGAGACACAGAGCTTTAATCATTTTTTTTTCTTGATTTTCCCTATGATACGGAAATACATATATATATACATATGTGTATAAATCTATATATACATACATATACATATATAAACACACATGCATAAATATATATATATATATATATATATATATATATATATATATATATATATATATATATATATATATATATGTGAGTGTGTGTGTGTGAGTGTGTGTATGTGTATATATGTATGTATGTACATGTTTATATATATATACATATATATATACATATATATATGCACATATGTATACACATATATGCATACATATACATATATATAAACAAATACATATACATACATGTACATATACATGAAAATACATATATACATCTGTACATTTATGTATATATATGTATATACACATATGTGTATATAAGCATTTATTTACATATATATATACATACATATATATATATATATATATATATATATATATATATATATATATATATATATATATATATATACATATATATATATATATTAATATATACATATATATATATATTAATATATACATATATATATATATATTAATATATACATATATATATATATTAATATATACATATATATATATATTAATATATACATATATATATATATATATATATATATATATATATATATATATATATATATATATATATATATTAATATATACATATATATATATATCAATATATACATATATATATATATATATATTAATATATATATATATATATATATATATTAATATATACATATATATATATATATTAATATATACATATATATATATATTAATATATACATATATATATATATATCAATATATACATATATATATATATATATTAATATATACATATATATATATATATATTAATATATACATATATATATATATTAATATATACATATATATATATATATATCAATATATACATATATATATATATATATTAATATATACATATATATATATATATATTAATATATACATATATATATATATATATTAATATATACATATATATATATATATTAATATATACATATATATATATATATATATCAATATATACATATATATATATATATTAATATATACATATATATATATATATATATCAATATATACATATATATATATATATATATTAATATATACATATATATATATATATATATATATATATCAATATATACATATATATATATATATATATCAATATATACATATATATATATATATTAATATATACATATATATATATATATATTAATATATACATATATATATATATATATATATTAATATATACATATATATATATATATTAATATATACATATATATATATATATTAATATATACATATATATATATATATATATTAATATATACATATATATATATATATTAATATATACATATATATATATATATTAATATATATATATATATATATATATATATATATTAATATATATATATATATATATATATATATATATATTAATATATATATATATATATATATATATTAATATATATATATATATATATATATATATATATATATATATATTAATATAT